CTTCGTTTACATCACTTCTAGAATTGCAGTTGTCTATAATCCATTGAACAATCAACAGAAGTTCTACGAAGGACACAGATTCAAAATCACTTGTCTAGCCATTCATCCATTAAAGTGTTTTGTGGCCACAGGTGAAAGTGCTCCTAGACCTTGCATTCACGTTTGGAATGTGTTCAACACTGAACCAGTCAAAATCATCAGAACTAATCATAAGAATGGTATCTACGACTTGGTGTTCTCCAGAGATTCCTTATTTATAGTCAGTATAGGCATAGATGAAACCTATTCAGTCTAAGTGACATCTTGGAAGAATGAAACTATTATAGCATTTCGAAATTCAGGGACATTCCCAATCTGCTGTGTTATGTTCAACCCATACAATCGATATGAGTTTGCTACTTGTGGATACTAGAATATCACCATATGGTCATTACAAGGGAGAAACCTGATTAGAAGTCAAGTCATATTATCAGATGAAGTCAAGTATTCTAATGGTTGTTTCATCACCTGCTTAAAGTTACATCTCCTATCTCTTAAGTGATAAAGTAGAAAGTGACATCATTGTGGGCAAATAACTTTGGAGATCTGGCTTTGGTTTCCTGTGGCAAATACATAGTCGTGAAAGAGAGGTAATTATTATACTAATATTTGTTTAGAGCACATCAAAAGATGATCAATTGTTTGAAGATATCCTAAATATTGGGAGATAAGGTTGTTATCATAACTTGTGGAGAAGATGAGTACATCAAAATATGGGATACCAAATTTAATTTGATTAATGAGTTCAACATCCGTAAGACTGGATTCTTTCAGGATGGTACTCCAGCAATTAGGGTATGAATATATACATATCTCCTATTTAGAATCTATCGGCGTAATCAATCGATATCTTTTCATGTAAGGTACCCAAGAGATAACTTAATGAGGAGGAAGTGGAAGAACCCCACAATTTATCTGTGATGTTGGTTGGAACTAGAAATGGTGACATCTTGGAAGCAGCATTCTAGGTAGAGTCTTAAGGCTTAAAGTTACAACAAATTAGAAAATAGGAAAGTCATTCTGAGGATGAGCAGGACAACTCCAATGATTCTAGTGTATCTGAACAATAGCAGAGACAACATTATACAACAACAGAAACTTTGAAATTCAACTATTCCATTTACATGAGATCACATCAATCATAAATATTTGATAGTAAATAACAAATAGATTTCTTTAATAAGAAGATGTTCATCACTCTCCATCCCACCTAACCTATTATGGTATCGATGGGAGAAGATCAGAAATTAATACTCTGGGATACTGAGAATAATTCATTGCTATTAGTCAAGAATATGGGTATGACTCCGACTGCCATCCGATTATCACCAGATGGAGATCTGCTAGTCATTGGGTTCCAGAATTCAATGGTTGTGATTATGGACTCCAAGATTCAAAAGAACACAATGGGAAAAGTGAGTGAACGTTACTTGTTGCCATCCTTGGACATCATCATGAATATCAAGGATAAGGATAATAAGACACCCGTTTTGAATATAGAGTTTTCACATAAGGGGGACATGCTTGCCATCTCATATGATAATGCTCGTAGTTAGAAGGATGTATTCGACTCTAAGTTGGAAAAGGAGGGTTCTTTCATTTCCGTGTGGGTTAATAGAGGTTCTCATCGTACATCCAAGTATAGAGCAACAGACAAGAATCTATATTTGAAATACACTGACATTCGTTGTCCTTCACTTTATGAATCTTATTAGACTGACAATGACACTTATGGAGTGGCTGCTTACTTCATGACATTCAGTTAGGATGGCAATTATCTGTTAATTTATTATCAATTGATAAACAATCAGTAAACAAGAATCAACAATGATCCTCAGGGAGTGTACATCATCTGGGATCTGAATTCAAATACATCAGTCAAAAATTGGGAGACCATCAAGAACATATAGTGGAAGAAGTTGAATTTCCCAAATAGTTTGCATTCCTAATACCAGTTTTATGATTCTTTGATAGGAAATCCGAAGTAGAAGTAAGAACAAGAGACCAATTTGGCAAATGAAATACTCAAGACTCCAGTGATGTCAGTGATGGTTGACATATCTCCATTTCTAATATGTGGAAGCACCAATGGAGATTTACATCTGGTCAAATCCTCTTGTCTTTACTATGATAAAGATTTTATCACTGAAATCAGTAAAAAATAGAAGTGTTTGGCTAAGTCATATTCTGCTCATGTTTCATTTGTGAATCAAATAGAGACTCATCAGAATGCTCAATATCTTTATACTACTGGTATATTGGATGAATGCATTATGAAATGGAAATTGACAGAAGAACAATAGAATTGGGATTTGGATTATTTGATTTATGATAAGAAACAAGCAGATCTGTTTTAGGAAGTGTAAGAAAAGGAGAAATTCAAAAGTTTGTTCTCCGAGTTACTACCCTTACGTTAGGGGATATCAGATAAAGTGAAGAATGTGGATGACACCAAACAACCTGAAGTGGAACTCAAATTGGAAAGTATAATTGGAAGAAGAGCATTCACAAGGAGGAACAATCTATTTTATGACTATGATGAAAGACTGATTTATGTGGCAGGTTGCAATTTGGTGATTGCTAGTTTGGATGATGAAGATGAATAGGATGACAAGATTACATCGTAATTTAAGAAATACAATGGAGGACAATTGCAATCAGAGAGCAATTCAGTGTTCCAATAATTCATTAAGTTAGATCAATCAGATACATCATCATCACCTGAGATCTCATGTATTACGTTGAGTCAAGACAAGAAATTATTGTGTGCTGGTACTATTGAATTGAATGCTAAATTATTGATTTGGGATATATGTTCAAGAACGTGTGTTAAGAATATTGTCATCAATAATGCAGTCATGATTATGAATATCAAATTTGCTTATGACAATAGACATCTTATTTGTAATGCAATCACTCAGGAGTATAGATAAGAAATACTGTTGATTGACTCTGAAAACCATTAGGTTTTGGGAGTAGTCACATATACATACTCAATACCATATAAGATTAAGGATTTGGAATTCTACCCTAACAGTGTCTTTAGATTTGTAACATGTGGAGTGTAGCATATGTCTTGTTGGTAATTTGCAGGAGGATCATTGACATTCTAAGCAATGGAAATTGAAAATCCAAAGGATTTAGTGGAGTTGGTGGAGAATCAGAATGACGAATAAGAAGGAGTCTAAGATAATGAGTAGGAACAAGATGCTTTAAGAATCACATTTTTGACTGTGATATTTGTATAAGATGCAATAATTACAGCAGGTGAAGATGGATTCATATACGTTTGGGATGACAAAAAGATCAATAAGAAATAAAAGGCTCATCCAGATCAACCCATCTTCTGTTTATACACAAGCAAAGATTCTTCGATGTTCGTATCTGGAGGAATGGATGGAAGAGTCATTCTGTGGTCTTTGAGTAAATCTGAGTATTCCTATGTTGTGGAAAAGATATACGAATATAGTATTGCTAATGAATAATTACAGAAGGTAGGATTGAATCCAAATCTACATGTTTAATCAGTCTGCATTGGATAGAACTACATTTTGGCAGGAACACGAAGTGGTGATATCTATGAATTAGTTAGACCCAATGAATCCGATTTGAAATGTAAACATTTTGATTAAATTTAGCTTTGACTAAGATTCAGAAGGATATGGTTAAATTAAGAATCAATTGCACTGATCATGATCAACCAAAAGTTGTAGCTTTTTCTGGTAATGCTCAGAAATTGTATTCCATAACTCAAAAGGGACTGTTTGCTGTATGGAATTTGAGGAAACTGAAACGAACGTATTCTTTCGCATTTGAAAAGGCCACACTGAATTTAATAGTGTGCAAATTGTCACCTAAAATTATTATAGCTTTTGAACAAGAGGTGATTGTTTTGAATGATCATGATTACAGTGTTAATTCTAATTATTCTCTAAAATAGAAATCAGCAATCTCAGATATGAAATTGAGTGTTGATGAGAAGATGCTTGCTTTGGCCCTCTCAAGAAATCAAGAACAAAATGCTAAAATTGAAATATACGATGTTGAAAACGAAGAAAATAACTTTAGATTACTTTGTAGCATTGACAATCTAAACACAAGTGTCGAGTACTTGGATTTCTCCACAGACAATTTCTATCTATTCTATAAAGATGTTTCAGATGAGACTGCCCTAATCGATCTGGATCAACAGAAACGAATCAACAGTATGCACATGGAATTCGATTTGGAATGGTGTAGTGATGGAATCAAATTAGCTGAAAAAGCCAAGGGAGTGCACTCTTGTTATACTGACGAAAATAGAATCCACAAAATCACGTTGATCGGAGAAAAGTCCATGGCAGTATTTAATACATCTTATTCAAGGTTACTGATGATATGGGAACCATAAGGATCTTCAATTATCCCTGTACTTCTGGCACAAGGATACATGCGCATATATACTGATCATATGATGTACATCAATCAATGTGTGGCCAGTCCAGATAAGGAAACTTTGGTTACGACCTCAGAACAAGACAAATGCATCATGGTGTGGAAGATACAGAAGGTTGATGTCAATAATACATAATGATATTTAATCATTTGAACTACACTTTAGGCAGTCCAGCCAAATTGAAGATGTGCTTATTTTTCTTTAAGAAATTGTCTGTTGTCGTTCTCAACACTTCCAACTCTGTCTCTATGTTTTATTACTTTCTAAATTTAACAACATTCCTTACGCCAACATATTGTTCTTCTCTTAATTTGCACTTTGAGCATCTTAATATGCCAATCTGCGTTCATGTTCCAGAAAGTCACTCTTCAATTTCAATTAATAAATCTAGAAGTTACATTTATACAATCTATACCATCTTCGCATCTTTATTCTACTACTCTATATTATCACTAAGAATCCTATTTTACTTCGTCTTTATATCATCCAATTCATGTAACAATGACTCACATTCTGCCACTTAATCGTCCAATTCCTACTGTTTCCTCTCCAATTCCCCTTATTTAACTGCTAAATCAAATTAAGACTTTTGCAATTGATTTGTTAGATCATCCACTTAATTCTATAGTCCTTTCAATTCATCCATTAGTTCTGCAACACTGCTCTTACCCACACTTCTAAGATTCTCTATGATCTCTTCTGCATCTACCACTCGTTACTTATAATAATTCAAATCATGTTCCATCACCTTGCAATGATCAATCAATTTAACATGACTCTTTTCAAGACCACCAAAATTAGAAGTCATCTTTCTTATAAAATCTTTCAATTGCTTGTCGATATTCTTCTATTCAAAAAATTGTTGAGTAACAACTATTTTCTCGATCTTCTAATATTTGTCTGATGCAATTTGATTCATCTGATTCACATAATCCGCATTCAATTATCTTAACTTCTCATTCTCCTACCTCAATTACCTAATCTGAGTCTCCTAAGCTATTAAATCTAATTGAACTATCTACTCTTTAATGTCTAAGTGCATAATTTCAATTTAGTCTTCAAATAATCTACCTAAGATTCAACTTGATCAGGTAAAGCAGAAGATGCTTCACTTTCATCACTTTGATTGGCCCTACTGAAAACAACGACATTATTATTCATTTTATTAATTATATAATCTTTGTATTTCTAAAAAATCAAATTATATTTAGAGTTATAACTTGATGAATACTATTTGAGTATGAATTATTATAGGCATAGGCAATATTAAGAACAACCTATTATAATGTATTTAGTATTAATTATTCTATCCAGGTTTTTATATACCATATTCTGAAGATTGGCTCATGTCATAAAAGTGGAGTATCGACTAATTGTTTATAGTTAAATTTCTCACTCATTATTATAATTAATAAAATCATTAGTAACTGAATCTCATTTTTAAATAGAAGTGTAAAGGGACTGAAATTTAACTATCAGTTCTCAAAAGAACTATAGTATAGGATCAAATTTAACAACTAGTAAAATCGAAAAAAATTTATAGTATTTTTAATTATATTGAGGTTTATAAAATTTAAATTAGTATTATAAGAAACAAGTTAAAATTATATAATATAAAAATATGTAAAATAAAACTTCAGATATGTGTTATAGAATAATTTGATGAATTGTTGCCAATTATGTAATGCGTAAAAATTAGACATAAAATTGTTTCAACTATTTAGATCTTATGTTATAAAAAAACTAAAAAGAATTGCAATTAAGAGAAATAATAATTACATAATTTCATAATTAAGATATCTTAATAAACAATATATGATTACTTTATAAATAAATATTTTATTATTCTAAAGTTCTGTTGGAGTTAATGATGTCAAATCTTTTTTCCTATATATAAACACCTATAATTTTTGATATCCTCTATACATCCCAACTTGTATAAGAAACTCAGCTGAAATTAAGAAGCCAAAAACAATTTCATTTTGAATGCAATCTTTATCTTAACTTATCTTATTTTCAATCAATAAATTAGATAATATTATATAGAAATATCTTCAATCAAAACGGAATCCATTTTATTACATATTTTTGACATGTAAAGTAATTAACAGAATGAATGATGCTTTATTCTTGAATTATGTCTCAATTTTTTCCACTCTTCTTGCTCTAACCCTTACTTTGGGAGCTTGATTAAATGCTATAGATATCACACAAGTATAACACTAAAAAATAATTATGCCTGCTACTAAAATCTTTATTTTTCATTGTGTTATTGCAAAGTGACATCAACCTTTTGATTAACTTTGAAATGATAAATGGGCTTCCTAGATTAGATATAGCCATATATTGATTTAATGTTTAATAAAGTACTCATATATTACAATATATTATGTTTATATCATCCAAAAACTATCAGTTTTCTGTGACTATCTACTTTCTTCAAAATTTCATCTATCAATTCTGTCGGTTTATTCATATCAGTTAATATGCATTTTAGATGATGTAAGAATCGGTCGAATTATTAATTAGTAATATTCAGATTCTTATGAACCTCAATCAAATCTCTTTTATTTGATATTCAAAATTACTTTCCAGTATATTTGGTGTGAGGGCAGCCAAACATTTAAGCAAAAAATGTTTTTTATTAAAGTCTCACTCTTGTCATATCAGATTTTAAAAATTTTCCCCTTAAAGATTAATCAAACAAGACCTTATAATAAAACTAATCTATGAGATCTGAAATTTAGCCATCCCCTCCGAAGGAATCAAATACATTTTAATCCATTTTTATAATAAAAAATTTATTAATTAGACATCTCAAATCTTAAACTTATAACTATCATTTTCCCTTTTTAACCTTGTAATAATTTGGGCAATTTTTCTTGACGTACTCCTCTTCATTGAATTCTCTACAAGATGATTCCATTTCTAGATATTATTCCTGAAGATTTTTCACATTTTAAGTCATTTAATTATATTTCTCTTCCAATTGAAGTATTTCATTCTAAGAATTAGGTTAAATCTATATAAGATACATGTAAACTGTTAATGTTATGTTGATGTTCTTCCCTTATTTATTCTAAATGCCTTAACTTAATTTGATTGGAGCAAATAGATTCATCATAAAGGTCCAAGAACTCTTTCTTACTCTTTTATTTGCCCTTCACATTGCCCTTCTTCATATGTTATGGCAATGCACTAATTAACTAATTCAATTTTTCTCGTATTTATATATTTTCTTAGGCAAGGACTGTGTTTTCATCTTTCAGTTTCTAGTAAATGTGTTCGCTCTTTTGTGATTTTTATATTTTGCCTGAGATGATACTCATATTATTTTGTAACACCTGTATTCTTTATGCCTTTGCAGTTAATTCATAATTAATACTCTTTTTTATAGCTCTTCCCACTGCTTCTAAATTATCTTTTCTAATTCATTTTGTCTCTTGTCTCCCATTGCATTGGCTTGGAGTTGATTTCTAACTTCAGCCTAAACAGCCTTAACTTTTTCGCTATCTTATAAATACTTTTCATTTTGCTTAATATTACAAAAGCCATTATACTTCCTATAATTGTTTCTCAACTTAAAGTTTAATTTATTCAGCTCTTTGTATTTTATTTTGATAATCATCTATTTTTTAGGTGGTTTCCTCAATCCTTTATTATAAATCAGCTTCTGATTCTTTAGACTATTCAATGCTGCTTCTCATTTGTATGATTTCATTTTGAATAGCTTCAAGATGCATGTACTAAATTTAAATTTCATGATTTTACTAATTGACTTTTCAAATTATTTTCTTCTTTTATTTGCATATCAGATTCCTTCTTCTCTTCTAATTTCTATCGACACTTTTGTTCAATTTCTTGGAAGGCAAATTCATCATCAGAAGACTCTCCTGAGTTCATTTCCAATTAATCTTCTTCCTCTTAAATTAATTGTTTCAAATGCTCATTCTCATCTTAGACTGTCTCTCTCTTTTCTTGCAGACTCGATATGTTCTTAAACAACTCACTAAATTTCAATGTCAAACTCTCCAACAGAACCTCATCCATTTTTAATAACTGAATAAATTGAATTGTCTATTTATAAAAATAAATAGTTATCTCTATCTATAATATTTTTATAAAAATTCATATATAGAAATGATTTAACAATAAATAAAAAGGTATTTTATTCAATTTTATTCTTTTTCAGATTGTTAATTTTAATTTTGAATTTCGATCTCAATCTCATTATCAATTTCATGATCACGATCATTCTCATTTTCTTCATCTCTTGAGTCACTGTTCTATTGTGGTTCGCTGTCCTCAGCAATTACCTTATTAAAAATTTGTCTCCCATCCACCTCTTCATATTCCTTCCTTAACTATTCGTTGTTATTGGGAGTTGTGGGTTTGTTGGTGAAGATACTTTGCAATTGGGTAACTTGAGGACCTGAAAGATTGGGATTCTTGAGAGCCTGGAGAGGCAGAGGTTTTGGGAAGAAATTTTATTAAGGAACTTTGCTATCAGTCTTGTTCGACAAAGAGGATTTGAGGTCAAAGCGTTTGGAAGTGGAGAGCAATTGTCCATAGCCTGCACTTTCATTCATCTTCGGGAGTTGTTGCTATTGCTACACCTTCAACTTCTCTTTGTCCTTTTTCATCTTAATCCAATCGTAGGTCGAAATACCTTTGTACCTTGATTTAGATTGATGGCTTACTTGAAGAATAGGTGCATTCCCAATAAATAAGAAAGAACAAAAAGGATTGGAGGATCAAGAATGATGCTGATAAGAGCAAGAATTTAGAAGGCGTAGTTCAGTAAGAGGAGGATGTCCTGAATAATCCTCAAACATTTGAAAATGACAAGCAAGACCACCAAGATGAAAAAGTAGTTGTAGTTCTTGATGCCTATGCAATTGTTCAACCAAATACAATGATGATCAAATACTTCAACACACCTTATTATTTAATATGTTACTTATTACAACTAAAACAATGCTTTGACTTTTCCATCACGTGTGCCTGACACACTAAACAATAAGTCTTGAGGTCAGTCTTGAATTCCAATCTAAAAATAACATAATCATGCACCCTTTCGATTTAAAGTTTTGCTCCTTCAAGACAACACTGTCGGTAGGGTCTATGAGTGTAGCTCTTAAGCACGTGTAGACGATGCCCATCGTAAGAATTGTCAGCACTATCAGCATGAATTCCTAAGAATTAGTCATAGACTACCTTGACTCCATCATCCATTAAGAATGCAATCATAAAGGACATTATCATGTCGAAAACCGTGTATATCCAACTCACTGCCTAATACAGTTGTATATCGCTACACCCATGTCGTCGAATGGGTCTCAATCGCTCCTTTTCTATATCTGCATTCATAATTATGATTATAAAGTATTTTGAGATATATAATTATATGTACAATCATTTTTCTTTGAATACAAATTATAACAAATTATTAAGTTCTTTGATTTGAGTAAAGTCAACAATGTGAACAAATATACGGTTTCCATCATAGATTGTTTGAATCATCCTCTGGATTTCCTTTTCTTTTCCAGATATTTTCATATCCAATCTATCATTGCCGATTAGATGTATGGGAACTTTCCCTGTCATTTTGTTTTCATTACATATCTTTTAAACTTACGCAATTCTCCTCTTAAACAACGAAACATCAAATTATTCAAAAATTATCATTATACAGTTAAAAGTATCATTCATTCTATTCTCTAAATCTAACAAACCTCCTTCACTTGAATCGAATTCCTTACACAATTAACCCAACAAAATACCCAAAATTGAATTTTTTATTGTTAATACAACATGCATTTAACATCTAACCCAATTGTTTAAGGCAAGTTACTGACCATCGGAGTTTAATTTATGAGACTACAGATAAAGGCTGTTTTTCCAACTGCTGTATTCATACCCAAGACAGCTATCTTATAGCATGAACCGAGTTTGATCGAGTCTTACGAAGAGACCGACCTACAAATTGTGAGATTTTCGTTCGTCGATCTTACATCGATTGATTTTTAGTAACGGAGTGAGATTTTTTTCTAAGTGATCCCTTAAGTTGCACCCATTTATATTTAATAATAAATGCAATAACAAAAAAACAAAAAAAAGAAATTCTAAAAGCACCAAAGATCTGGACAACAACAAGCCCAATCAGATTTTCTCTACAGCGGCTTCCTAATTACCTGCGATAAAAATCGAGAGAGAGAAGCAGTCAAAGAAGGCTATTAAATCATTGAACAATATGTCGAATAAATCTATCCTCAGGAATCACAAAAACATGAAAAATTGCTTGAGCAGAACACAAATACTAAGGGCGTTGTCAAGATGCTTTATAATTTTGACACTAAGGTGAAGTGCGTCATCTTCATCAGAATCAATACTCAAGAATTCCCCACCATTGATGTCGATGAATTGAGTCGAATAATCTTAAGCGATGTCTATGACAAGTCCCAACAAGTGGCCAGATACATCTACAGAATGATACCCATTTAATATGTATTCAGAGCCACTTTGGAAGAATTTAAAAAGCATGCCGAATTCCTCGTGAATAAACACTTCCAATTAGATAGACCACACCCGTGGTTTTTGATATTTAAGACTAGATACACAGATAAAATTAATAAATAATAGGTGCTATCGATTTTACAAGGGTTGATTGAACCTCTGCATTATTAGGATTGGTAAGAGCCTGAATTTGTTTTCTTTGTAGAAGTGAATGGAGCCATCATGTATATCAACATCCTGCCAAAATATCACGTATTTAGAGAATACTCAATTCGAAAGGGAGGATAACCTGTCTTGGATACTGATATTCCTGAGAGAAAAAATAATTTTGTAGACAAAGTAGTGAAGAAGGTAAGATGTCAGAATGAGCAAGAAGTGAAGAATGCCATTAGCATTTAAGATCCAAATTCAGACTTCTAGAAAAAGGAATTCTTTGAAGAATAGGATGTAGATCTATTGTGATTTATGTATTATGGTAAAAATATAATAAGAGTCTTTCTCAGTTTTTGTTCTGGCTTTGCTGTTTTCTACACTCCTATATTTGCTTTTGAAAATCCTACTGAGCCTCTTTATCTTGCATCTGAACAGATAGCTTTTCCCCTTATTGAAAATATTGCCTGAATACACACAAATATTTACACAGCAAGTGTATATTTTTTATTGCTGCTAAGGAATTTGCCATATTTCAAATAAGCCTTAATGTTGGTCTTGTCAACATATATAATAAAATCTAATAACTCTTTAGTAGCAGGTGACTTCAAAAACTCCAAACAGATTTGAATGTTGTGAATAAGAGAAACACCTAACTCTCTCCACAGTTTGCTATCATTCAATGCGAGCACAGACTAGTAATACTCATTCAGAGCCTTCTCATATTATTATTTTTTATCAAATTGTTTTCCCTGAGTTTTGTGGTATTTAATCCACTCCGATCTATCTCCATAAGTTGAACCCTAACCAATAGTTTTATGTTTTACTTCTATTAACTTTACTATTCTTTAATCCTACTCAATTCTGCTTTTCTCAACATCAGGACTTAATTAGTTAGAACAAATTACTTACAGTTTCTGATCACTCCCTTAGAGCTCCAATTGCATTAATTTCTATCTTATCAAATTTGTAATTCCCTCTAACTTTATCTTCTCCAACTCCATATATATTAATTAATACTTATATTTTTAAGAGTATTTAATATAAAAAATCTCTTTAGAAATTCTATAATTCGAATGATTCGGTTCAATTGTTTTTGATAGCTTTATTCCATTTATTGACTTTGAATCTGTTTGGACTGATTAATAATCTAAATTTCCTTTCGATTATAAATAATTTAAATTCAAATTTGTCAGAGTAGAATATGAAATCAATTAGGTAAAGGTTGACTCCAACGAAACTCAAGGTGAAAGATGAGACAAACATAAGCAGAATTTGCTGTGTGAATCATTCAAATAAGAGTGCCAAGTATTATGTGGCCAAGGACAACTCCGTCTACTTATGTTCGAAATGCGCAGTCTAAATGATGGGCAAAGGATAAAAGGTTGAAGAAATGCCTGGTCTTGAAGAAGAATATAGAAGGAAACAAATTAACCAATTCATCAATTAAGTAAATAACAACATCCCCCACATTGATAAAATGATGAATGCCTTAATTACAAAAAGAGATGACATTTCAAAATACTATGAATAACAGAAAGAGAAAATTGAAAAGTTTCATACTCAGATTATCCAATACTTAGAAGAAGAAAAAATGAAAAAGTTACAATAGTTGCATACCAATTTTAAGAATGTATCAAAATAATATGATGAAAGTATTTAAAGCTTATAGCAATCAAAATCTGAAACCATGTGTATGAAAAAGGATATAGAATGTAACCTAAATCAAATAATCAAGTAAATTTAAAATGAACCATTTAATGAAATTATGGCTAGTTATCATAAAAATCTTCAAATATTTGTTGGCAAGACGGATCTTATAGCCAAAACTCCCATCGAAGTTCTAAAAGTTACATTAAATGAACCAATTAATTTGAGTCATTTAATTTTAATCCAACAATTAAAAACTTGTTTAATCAAGAAAAACGTTTAAGATTAAAATTCTAAGCAAGAAGTTAATGATAGTGTGTATTAAAGTCTGGAAAAGAAGGAGTACTGTACATAACCAAAAGTAAGTCGAATGGCTTTATCCTCAGTAAAAACTCCTAAATAAGATTACAGCATCAAAAATGTGGCTTCGTTTGAGATAACAAGTGAGGATTGCTATGAGGAAGGACATTCTTAAATGATAGAAAGAGATGATATAGAGAATTCATATTAGATGATGCTACTAGACACAAATTCAGATCAAGAAGATAAGAAACCTGATTAAGATATATTAGGATCCTTTGGACCAATTCAAATAACTAATGCTAATGCTAAAACTAACAATAATAATATTTTATAACCAAATAATAATAAAGTATTGGTTTCAAAAATTATTGAAAGAAATAACTAAAAAAATGATAGAAACATTGAAAAGAATTATATGTTTAAAGCCACGAATACATCCCTAAAATATGTATGATTTCTATAAAACACTTATTCATTTAGTTATATTGTTAATCCAAATCAAATTAAAAAATTTTAAAACTAAAATTTTATTTCAATATTGCTTTGTAATTTCTGTAATAAATTAAAAGAATATTTGAATTCCATTTCTATTGATATCATATTTTAAACATTCTTTTTTCAATTTAACAGAATAGTCCTATTTTTTATAACTTGATTGTATTATTTAGTTTAAATTAATTTTTATAATAGAACTATGGAGATGAGCTATGCTAACTATGGTAGCTAATCTACTCATCAATTTAAGAAGTTGTCTTCTTCAATTAGAATAAATATAATAAAAATAATATCAAGTAGACACTTATAAAATAAAATTTAATCCAGAAGTTCCAATCAATCCTAACGTACTTATGCAAACCTATAAAAGTAATTCGTAGGTCATAGCTATGCCCATTACTGTGTACGGTTAAGATTTCTCTTGGTGACCTAAATCATCATACTAAAATTATAGAGAACATGCAATTACCACATTTTAGATTGAATGAATGCAAAACAAGGAGTAATTCAGAAATTAGTCATCCTAAACTACACTGCTAGTGGTAGCATTTTCAAGTACTTTTTGGAAAGCCTATTGTAATTAAAATAGAGTTACACTAAAAACTGGATCTTCAGATTTGAAGGTATAATCCAGAGATTTGAAGATTTGATAAGACAATTATTGAATAAGGAATAGGTTTTTACGTAATAATCCTCTATGAATACACCAGTGAGCATTAATTCTGGCACCTTGTAATACGAGGGCAATTGAAATCGATGCAATGACCAAAAAATCAACAGTCTATTAGAGTATGCTGTTGATGGTAATAAATTCCAAGTAGAAGAGGAATGTCATTATAACCATCATGATGGCATTGAGCAGCATTATAAAGGAAAGCATGAAGGACTATCTCCTTGTGTACTACAACCCATAATCTAGAATCATCTTTCTCAGATTGACCCAAGAGTATAAGGATACACAGCACAATAGATTGAGGGTGGGGAACATTTTAGATTCCTAATACACCTCTACTTTCTCAGCTGAAATTAGATGAGATAGTTGAGTCATGGCAAATACCTTTCTTCTTAAATCTCTATATGTGATCATCATCAAACCAGTTATAAGGTAAAAGTACATAAATTAGAAAATGCACATTTGCACAACAATTACGTAATCCTTAACAGATTCGCTGCAGAAGTTCATTATAAAAATATAGGCAATTACTCTCCCTAATGCAATTAGGATTGAGAATTTGTTTATGAACATAAGATGACATTTCTTATTGTATTCCTCCACAATTTCTTTGGCTATTGAAATACAATGGGCTGCTAAATCCTCATATAACTTATGCCCCCCATTATTAGTATATCCAACTTGAATTCTTTTTTTTCTTTCTGGATTAGGTGCCACCATAAAATAAAAGTGAAAGGAAGTTGGTTCAATCTGATGTCTCTTCATTGATTATTCAAACTCCTTGGTTATCATTGAAGGTATTTGTTATGCCCAATGATATGGGTTAATGCTCTGTTCACATAAATCCCCTATAACGCTCATATCAAATCTTTCTATGAGGTTCAACTTCGAAGGATGGAAGAATGCATACTTAATCGCATAAGTGACATTCTCAGTTAAATAGAGGATACAAAAGAATCCAATTTCGTAATGCGTCTTCTTCTATCCTTCGTTTCCTCCATAGTAAACACAGGATAAGACTATAGTGTAATTTGTGATCCAACGAAAATAGTTGAATGCTGTTCCTTTAGTGCAACCGTAAATCCTGAAATTGCGCATAAAGTTCATCCATTCTTTGTCGCAGAGTCCGTAGACCAGCACAAATGGACCAATTATCGAGAAGAGGATTCTAAGGGCGAGATACTTGATAAAGATTTTGATTCTGAAGTGGACTTCGTGTGGTTGAGTCTGGAGATATTATCATAGTAATTATACCCTATATTTAATTGAGGTTGGATCGAAATCACTCATCCTAGATCTTCCTAAATCCTCCCGAAAAAAGAGTGAGGAGCCATGTTTGGATTTACAGAATGACTCTCTTTCACTTCTCCCTGGGGTTATTCCGATATTGGTTTCGTGTTTATCTTCGAATTCCGATTGGCTCATCTAGGATTGTAGTCAAAATATTAGTGTTACTTGATTTACAGATACAATCTTATTTTGAATCATAGAAACCCAAGATCTTTGAGGGAACTTCACTTTAACTTGATTTTTCTCTAAATCATCTAACTCATTAGCTACTTAATCGTCTGACATTCTTCGATTATTTTATTGTTGATATATTTATTATAAAATATACTGTATAAAAATGATTTAATATATAATTCAAATATCACTTTTATTTGACAATTTATTCAAGTTCTGAAAATTACTACTATTTTCACATCCAATTATAAATAAAACTACATTCGCATTCGTGGATTCCATCTCATTCGATTCCACATGTTCAATCTCTGGGAAGATCTTCAAACAAAAATTGTACACATTTTTGCAATCCACACACTTGCACTCAGAATTACAATATTTGCCATCTTGATGACAACTACAAAAATTGTTCTGACATTTAGATTTTCCACAAGTACACCCTTTTAAGTATCTTGGTGTCCTTTATTTAATTCTCTTTTGCTTAACAAGTCTCTTCTAAATTTTCCCCAATTTCTTATTCATTTACATGTTCTAGCAATTTTGGCAACCACAGTGTTTCCCACATGTCTTGCCTCTTGCAAAACACTCGCAATAACTCTGCTGACACTAAGATTTGCTACATTGACATTTAATTTAAGGTTTTGGAGACATCACTTCACTAGGTTCTATCTCAGAGCATCTTAAATCATCTAGATCTTCTCCTATTTCGCTTTTGTGGTCTTTCAAGTGGACTGAAGAGCATTGCGTTGAAAATTACACAGAGTTTGGGGCACTGATCTATTCAAATTAATCATCAATTGATTAAGCTCTAAATAATGAGTTTAGTCAATTACATGCCAATTTGACTGTCCTCATCTAAGAAGCCTCTGAATGATTGACAAATTGACTGATTAATTGCTTCGCATTCTGATTCACTATAGTAGTACATTTATGGATTCATCCTTGTTCAAAATAAATATTTCTCAAGTTTTTGTCTGGGCAATACAGCTTATATACTTGGAATTCTAGGATAACTCACAAGATACAAGAACAAATAGCTGAGTTTTTTTTGGGCCTAAATTTTGAACAGAATTTATTACATAAAGAAATAATTGAAATTCTCTAATGTAATATAATCATCATATATTATTATGTTTTTTAATGAGACTGCGAGTTAATAATAAATCGCTCTTACTCCGGATTCTAAATTTACTGAGAGAATGAAAATTCCTCAAACTCAAACCAAACAATAGATCATTGAACACCATTAAGGCATTAATAAATTACTTGACAAAATGAATGAAACCATCGGCAGAATCTTTAAAACCAAAGAGGATGAATTAAAAGGCAATATCAAATAATAAATTGATGAAGCATAAGCATAAGTAATATAATTGACTAATGAAACCACAGAAGATCAAGTGCAACGTAAATTGAAAGAGAAAAGACAAGAAATTGAAGAAGAAAGACAAAAAATATTATAATCATCCATGGAATTCTCAAACAAATGTATTGAATACAAGAACAGTCTTAGCAAAGTGATGACTACAACTAAAGATCTCATCTCGGAGATCCAATTTCTCGACACTCAATTGATGAGTGCCAAAATTACTAACTCATAATTAAAGAAGTAATTAGAAAGCATCTAAACCAACACTGTAAATCAAGACTATTTCAGTCATGAGTCAACCTTCAGATAACCAGAAATAACAGGAATGGACATCGAAGGAGTCAATGAACAATATTAAAAGGCTGAATAAGAATTGATTAAAACCAAAAAGATCTATGAGAACATCGAATAAGTTAAATAGGATTCAGCATTTGAAGAAAATCAGATAGAAAAAATATTCCTAGTAATCTATTCAATTTAACTCTATAGGAGTGTGTCTAAAAAGTCAAGCAACACAAACTCAATACTGACATCCAAAAAGTGTAATAACAGAGCAAAAACCCCAGACAATTACTTAAACCTATTCAATCAATGAAGCAATTTCACAAACAAACAGAAGCATTAAACCAATAAGACTTCATATTTTCAGACATAGAATTCAATGATATTCATAAGAAAATGATTTTCGATGAATTCTTATCAAGAAACGAAATCAAAGCTCTGATTTACAATTTGCTTTGATATATTACATTTTTAACGCAGTTCCTAAATTCGGCATTAAATATTAAAACAATACTTATTCGATATCATATACACATAATGTCACCTTTTACTCTTTTTTTATTGCTGCTTTTTAACAGGTTAGTTATTTTACAATTTATTGACAGGTTATTTGTTTTACAATTTATTGGTCAATTCTTCCAGTTTTATTTAAACTTATCTTTCTATTTCTTTTTTCTATTCTTGACGCAGAGTTTCCTCTATTCTTTTTAAGTCCTATAGTCGTTGCATTTCCATTCTGTGAAACTCAATTTGTTATTAAGTGACAACTTGCTTTGGTTCATCCTATTTCTTCTTCACCTCCTCTTACTTCTTTTCTTATAAACTTTTCAGAGCCTTTTCCTATTTTTTTTGCTTACTTGATTTATTCTTTTTGGTTTTATCATTCTCCTTTTTCCCTTGATTAGAGTTTGAGACAATAAATGAATTTTGTACTTCTTATTGCTATAACTAATTTTATTATTGAGGGGTGTCATCTTCCCATTTTACAATGCCAAAACACTTTAAGAAGAGCATTATAAAATAGTAGAAGATCTTAAGCAGCACAAAGAGTCCGAATATAGCTTATATTGTTTATAACATTAATTTATTTTATAATTAAAACACATGTAAATTAAACATATATTGAAATTAATAAATCGAACATTAATATATGAAACGTTCTTGAATATTTAATTCATCATCATTTTAGTATTAATTACAATGTAAATTCTGATTATATATAGATATTAGGATTATTATTAATATTTGAGATTATTTTTATATTTGAGTTATTGTTACATAACTTTAGAATTTCATCTTAATTGATGATTTCTTTTCTCTCTTGTAATATAAAATCTTTTGAATGAATCAAATTTATAGCATTTTTACAATGTCAAAAATAGGATATATTATATTTTAATTTGATAAATAAAATCCTTTAGATTCTAAAAATTAAACATAAATCAATAAAATTAAAATATTTTAGTGTTATTGACACTACTTTTTTTAGATTTTATTCTGAATTGTGACTAATTCTCTTAATATGAATATCCTTGAAACAAATGCTGATTTTCTCTTATCAAATGCTAATGCAATCTAATTATTTAGTTGTTTTCTTCGTCTTCATAATATATCTGTGATTAATCGAAATTATCTGCAGTTTTAGGAATGAACGGTGCTTTCAACTTTTTCTAAAGAAGCAACTCAAATGGGAAATTCTTGAACCATTTATGCTATCTGGGATTGATCAATCTGTTTTGTGGTTTCCTCTGCAATAGCAAATTAATGAAGTCAATAGACTCATTTGACCATCCCTCAGTAGAAGTTTGGATCTAGACTTATTTAGCAAGGATCTACTCTCTGATTTCCCTTCTATTGCCATAATAGGGTCTTCTTCCTGTCATGAATTCATAGCAGATTACTCCCAAGGCGAAGAAGTCAACAGCTGCACCATGATCTTATCTGAATATGACTTCAGGTGCCATATATCCAGGTGTGCCACTGGTTTCGAAATTCTAACCAGTTTTTTTAATGGCCACACCAAGATCAGTAATACGAACATATCCTTGACTATCCAAGATCAAATTTTCTGGTTTGATGTCTCTGTGTATGATATTATTCTCATGCAAATACTCCAATCCAACGATAATACAAGCAGCAAAGAATTCTAGTATATATAAAAATAGATTGTATTACTTGTTTACTCTTCTGTGAATTTTCTCAATTTTCCTAGATGGAATCTCAGATCACCACCTCCCAAATAATCTAAGACCAAATAGAGATTATTATTGTCTTGAAATGCAGAAAAAGCATTGATTAAGAAATTGTGTCTCAATTCAGTTAAAAATTATAATTCGCTCATTATACTTTGGACACTTTATTTCAGAAGCACCAAAGCCTTACTGATTTCTTTCATAGCAAAAACCTGTTGTTTATAACTAACTTTCCACACTTTTCCAAATCCGCCTACTCCAATAATGCATTAAAGTAGAAAATGATGCTTATTTAAGGGGTTGTCTACTTCCATTGAAGTATCCTTTGAACTTTGTCTCGTATTAAAACTGTTCTTTTGCGATGTCTTATTATTAATATCAGACACCCTCCTACGATTTAACACGTTAATATTTTGAAACAGACAATTGAAAGAAATGTCATTCTGACTGTGTTTGTAAGGGGAGGAGTATCTTCGCAAGGCAATTTTTAACTTTGTTTCTGTCATTGGATGACGCAAGCAAATTAATTTTAATTAATAAACAGCAGAAATAATATATTATAATGTGTCAATCTTACTTATTTCATATTTTAATGCAATTTATTTATTTATTGTAGACAATCCATTAGATCTCATTATTTATCATAATAATGAGTCAATTATTTATATAAATTGAAATGCAATCATAGACTAAATTAAAGAATCTATAAAAATTATTTACTAAAACTGCATACTCTGATAGATTTTTAGCAGAAGTAAATATTTTCTGTTTTATTGTAGACTCGTAAATAAATTTTAATTGTTCAAAATAACATAAGTAGCATCACTTAATTTTCTTGCTCTTTTTATTGCCAAATAGGTGTCTGGTTCATTTTAAAAGTATACTGCACTCAATTACTAATCTCAATTTTTTGAAAAAAACCTAAAAACTCATGGTGAGATATGGATATGGTTAGAATGAGTAAACGTTAACAAAAACCATATGATTTTTAATAAAACCTAAAAAAAAGTTTTTAATTACCTACAAAAATCTGTGGTATGTGTTAAAGAGAAAATCAATCAAGGACTGTATGATCATAGCTTAGTAAAAAGTTATCTAAAAAGAAAAAGAGAGGATGTTTTTCGGAGGATATAGCTTAAACAGAAAAGACAATAAATTAGCGACTATTAAAACTAGTCATGCCTACAATATAACACAGTTTTAATTCTCTAGTTGAAATGGAAAAAACTCTCTAAATAACTAAGATACAATAAGTAAAAAATTGGTGGCTACTTAGGTATTGAGACCTAAAACTCATAAATAAGTATCTACACCTGACGTAGAAGATGAAATCTCAATAATTAGAGAAGGGAGACTTAAAATAAGAAATCATAACGGTGGTTACCTGAAAATCGATTTAAGAATTTGAATACTCTTTAGAGTTCTAAACGAAAGTTAAAGGATGTCAAGTTGAATCAGATTAGATCAAAATAAGATTTCTTGGTTGTTGAGAATTTTACTCCATGATTATTTCTGATATTTTCATTTATTTAGTATTTTGAATTAAGTTAAATCTAAATTTAATGAGTTAAATATAATCTAATGCATTGAATCCTAATAATATATTAAGGAATATTTAAATTACATCACTTATAGTAGGTATTTTATAATAATTTTTATTTTAATGCTTGACTGCTGTTCCTTGTGTGAAAAACATAGGGGAAAGATTAAGAAAGGACTATTCTTATTTCCAGCTGAATTCAAACAATAATATTAGAATTGTTACATTTCATAGATTGTGTTGAAATTGATTGCTTTGAACAACAACCAACCAATTCATTAGGATAGTTTTGTGGTTATAGACAATGACCTAGTTATCTGTGAATTGTGTTGGTAACTGATGTAATATGGGTTCACATGTTAGAAGTGTAAAACTCTTAATTTTATATAAAATGACAATTAAAGGAGATGTCAATTTTGTAACACTAATTTATGCCTAAGTTGTGGGAAGCAATTGGATCTGTTCAGAAACAACCGATTGAATTGTTATTCATGTCAGAGACAAGAAATAATTTCATATAAGATTGCCTATATTGTGATGATAATTGTAGTGGGATTACTGCTACCTTATTTGGCTCTCACCTACCTTTTAACAAAGTTCTTTGACCCTATTCATTAATACGAGTTTTGTAGGAAAAGTGCCATGAGAACGTTATTGTTATTTGTTATTTTGTTTCCAATAATGTTCCCATATGCTTTAATCGAAATTGTTGTTGCTGGCTTCAAAGCAATGATAAGAAATTTAAGGTGAATTTAAAATAATCATAATACTACGATAATTAATTAATTAATTATTATTATGGGGCACCCTTACATAATTTAAATGGAGGGAATATTTGAATTAAATATTAATTTTAATAATTATGGCAAACGTGTTCTTTGACATCTCATTTGGTGGAGCAGCTCCAAGCAGAATCGTTTTCAAGCTCTATGATGACGTCGTTCCCAAGACAGCTAAAAATTTCAGAGAACTTGCCCTTGCAGGTACATGAAACTCTATAATTTAGAGCACGGAAAAGGATACAAGGGATCCCCCTTCCACAGAGTCATCACTGATTTCATGGCTCAAGGAGGTGATTTCACAAAACAAAATGGAACAGGAGGAAAGTCAATCTACGGTGAGAAATTCCCAGTAAATATCATTTCAATGATTAGGATGAAAATTTCAAACTTAAACACAACAAACCAGCACTTTTGTCAATGGCCAATGCTGGTCCAAACACAAACGGATCATAATTCTTTATCACCTTTGTTCCATGCCCATGGTTAGATAATAAGCATGTAGTATTTGGTGAAGTTGTAGATGGATTCCCCACCTTAGAATTATTAAAGAAATGTAATATTTAATATCATATGTAGATTCCTCACCATAAGGTAACCCAAAAATAAACATCTAAGTCGTTAATTCAGGAACATTATGAAAATAAATATACATTCATCATACAAATCAATTCCATTTACATTTAATAAAGTATCTAAATTTAAATTATATATATATATATATATATATAATTATGTTTATAATCTCTTTCTTTTCTAATGTTGTGCTCATTTATAATTTATTACTCATAACCCAAACAATATTAAGATATTTAATTGAAATAATATTATTAGTTGATATCACAAGATAAATATTGTGGAATATTAAATATTAAAGTCTTTTGTAAAAAATTGGTATGAAATACCTTTGAATATCTGTTCAAAATATCAATTGGTTATTCACACGTTAAGGATCATTTTGTTGGAAAAGTTAAGAGGAATCTAAGATTTGGAGATTTTGATTAGAGTTTTACACTATTTGCATTGATTTTCGAATGGGAATATGTGATAAAAATGTAACCATGACTACCTTTCAATTTCTAATTTAACATCCTTGATTATTATACCTTATTCTTTCTTAAATGATCACAACACATTAATTGTATAATAATATCCTTTTTTATAGTGTTCCCAATACTTGCTTTTTTAATTTTTAATGATTAAAGTAACTTATTGAATTAATGTAGAGTTTCATAATATTATAATAATCTCTAAATATCTATTCCCATACAAATTATAATGATATACTAATTAAATTATAATTTTGGTCAATTTTATGTATAAATTTTCAACGCTAAGGAAACCTTTTGTGTATTTTATTTTAGGAGGTACAAATCAAATTAGATCAAAGGGCCTGGCTCTGGAAAAGGTACTTAATGTGAATTGTTAAGTAAAAATTTAAAATGCGTGCACTTATCTGCTGGACAATTGTTGAGAAATGCTGTAAGTATTGGATGTATGTGATTAGATTAGCAATGATTCAGAGCACAAAAGTACGATTGAAAATTGCATAAATAGTGGAAGAATAGTTCCTGTAATATATGTTATTTGATGTTTCTAAGAGTCATGTGACAATCAATTTATTGGACAAGGCCATTTTTGAAGAGTAAAGTTCTGAGACATTTTTGATAGATGGATTCCCTCGAAATTATGAGAACATGGAAAATTGGATAGCATTGATGGATCACAAAATCACATTTAAGAGTGTCATCCACATTCTGTGTTCAAGAGTATGACTGCATTTGTATATACAGGCCACCATGATTTAGAGAATAACAGAGAGATCCAAAACAAGTGGGAGGTCAGATGACAACATCTAAACTTTGGAAAAGAGATTCATCACATATTAAAATGACACTTACAAAATAATAGAGCATTATCGAAATCGAAAGCAATTGATTGAAATTAATGGAGACAACTCAATAGAAACAGTACAAGGAGAAATATTGGAATCACTTAAAAAGCATCACAGTTAGTGAACTTTGATATTCCGTATTTGTTTTATAAATAGTTATAAAACAAATAAAAATTTATAATGTAACCATACGATGGAGTTCAAAGAGCTAATTAATGCTCTCCGAGGCTGGAGTATGATCTTAATTTTCATCGTATTCCTATCCTAGGCTGATATCAATATCATCTAAGTACACATACGATGCTTAATTAGTTTTATTCTTAATATTATTATTATTGTTTGATATGAATATTATTATGGGATTCATTTTTTCTCATTCCCAATCTAAATACCAAATGCTCTTGTTTACTCACCTTAAGTCTGAGTATTATTAAAGACTTCCATGAATGATCTATCTAATTCAATTCACAACTGAATGGAGTTCGAATTTACGTATTTAAGTTATATTAAAAATGTTTAATATTAAATATAAAATTAACGATTTTCGATATGGATCAATAACACTCATAGCATTTCCAAACTTTAGAATGCGTTGTTTCTGAGAGACTAACAACCAGAGGCAGATCCTAAACCAAGGATACCATTTAGATCGTATCACCTAAACAAAATATTGTTTATGTCCAGAGACAAGCTTAACAAATCATTACCACAACTCAAGCTCCAATCAGAACAGAAACTTTTGTCAAACCCATCATCTAATAAGTGCAAAAGGTGCAAGTAGTTGATCACAGAGAAGAAGTGGAATTTTATAAGAGCAAATGTCTCATCTATGAAAAGCAAATCAGTGAACTCAACATTGAAGTTACGAGATTGAGATCCAATCCTACAGTCTAAGAGAAAATCACTTATGTTGAAGATTCCCATAAGGTGGCTGAATTGGAAAGATAACTACATATCTACCAAACTGAAATTCATAAAGTAACTGCCTTATTGAAAGAAACCAACATTGAAGTAGACACTCTCAAGATTAAGAATTCTCAAATCACTTCCTAATTGGTGTACTACCAATAACAAAGCAGTGATTTTGATAAATTAAAGAAAACCTAAATTGAGGGTGATCAATTTTATTAAAATGAAATACAAAGATTAAATGTCCTTGTTCAATAGAGTCAAACCCAATTGCAATCCTTATAAGCCACTTTAATAGATTCGAAGAAATACGAATAACTTTACATCCAACTCCAATCCACTTAAGCCACCTTAACAAATGAATTAGAAAGATGCACTCAAGTATTAAAGATCAAACAAGAAGAATTTGAAACCACCAAATTATAATTGATAAAAGATCTAGAAATACAATCAATAAGATTGAAGGATTTCGATAGAGAAAATAAGGATCTTAAACAAAAAGAATACTCACTCCAATAACAATTAGAAAGGTTGAACAAGGAATATTAAGATCTAAGTGATCGATACAATACTGATATCAGATCCAAAAACGACGAAATCACCAGATTAACTACAGTGACTCAAACATTACAATTGACATTCTAGGATACTTCCAAATTCCAAGAATATGAGCACAGATCAAAATTATAGAGTGAAGAAATTCAATTGCTCAACTAAAAGATCAGATCGAAATAGGATGAAGTAGACAAATGCAAATTGCAATTACATTAATACAATCTTCAACTATAGGAATACTCCAAATACGCTGATTTTGAATCTAAGTATAGGAGTATCTAATAAGAATATGAAAGGATTCATAATACTTTGAGATTGAAGATTGAAGAAAATGATAATCTAAGATCCTGCATCTCCAAATTATAATTAACTATAAGTGACAAGTATAAATCAAATGATTATGAGAACAAAATTGCATTATTGAGTTAAGAAATAGAGAGACTACATTAAAGTTTAAAGAGTAGACAAGATGAAAATGATAAACTCAGACAAGAACTCTATTCATTACAAACATCATTCCCAGATTAATAAATAGAAATAGATAGACTAAATGCTCAAATTAAAGTAAGAAATGAAGAATTAGAAAAACATAGATCTAGTTAGATCTCAAATAACGAATCCCTAAGACTTAAAGACTTAGAACAGAAAAATCTAGTCTATTCAAATGAAATAGATAGACTGAGCAATCTTGTCAGAGTCAAAATCAATGAATCAGAATAATATAAATAGGAATTAGTGAAATTAAGAGATTCATCTACCAAATTCACTTAAATGTACAACGATAATGAAAAATTAACATCTCTAATCAGAACCTTACAGGATGAACTAGATCAAACTAAAAGAAAATAGAAACTTGATGAATCGCATCTATATAATGAAAGAATGTAGGTTTTAGTTTAGGAGTTGGATTCTTGGAAGACCTAGTTTATCACTTAAAACAGAGAGTTTCATAAAAATTAAGAATTACTTATTTTAGCATAAGCAGAACTAGATTCTTTGAAAAATAAAAGAACTACAACTTTGAAAGTATCAAATCATATAAATAATTCTTAGAGTGAATAAGTTGTTGACTCCCTTAAAGAAAACAAAGTAGAATTTAAGAAGAATCACACTTCGCAATCCACTTATATCCTGGGAATGTTAAATAATAAACCAGTTTGAAAATTATATAAAACTTTAGTTATAGAATAATATCTAATAATATATATGGGAATTATGGTATTTCATCATTTACTAGTCTATTGAATTAATTATTATATTTTTCTATTCATTTATCTTTAGTTGACGTTAGCTCTTAATTATGTTCAACATATTGAGCTTCTTTCTTAGTTAAGATATCAAAATGGATTAAATTCTAAATGAAAAAGAAATTTCAATGATGTTGGAGAACTTGAAAAACATTTAAAGTTAATAAAAATCAGTGTTTGTTTCAGGTGAAATAAATAATTAACTATTAGTTTTAAATTATTAATTTATATTTAATGTTCATAATATAAGATGGTCTATTACGATGATTCCAATTATTCTTAAAATTAAATTTGAAGATGTAGTTTCTTGATTTTCATCTGGGTTATCACTGTTAGAGTCAGTTTGATTAGTGTTATTATCTACTTTTACTTCTGTACAAACCTAACATCTTGAGGTTTCAGTGTTCCAGGTATATGTGTATTCAGAGACCTTGAAACAATCACTTTACGAAAGTGTACTAGGATTTTTTAAACTACATTTTCCTTCAGTTAGAGAGCACTGTTATTTGGTGTTTTTATCCCAATTATAAAATCTAGTGCAATACCCAGTTTGTTTATAATTTGTATCACAAGTCAGTGTAGAACATGAACTTCGAGTATTTGAACCATTAATTTTCTCTGCTGGTTTCCAATAACATCTATCTTTTGCAGCCTAACATGCATTCTAATCATTATTAGCTGTGCTACATTCCGTCATTAAAGTACAAGTTCCAATTCCAAGAATAGCATCTTAGCCACTTTGCTATTCAAAAACACAAATTTGGTTTGAGATTCCTCCAGAATTACAAGCTGTCTTAGAGGTATACGTAGAACAATTTGCTTTTGGAATACAAATATTATTATCTAGAACACAAGAGAGCGATGAGGTTAAACACTCGTTGGTTTATTAGATTTAAATATCCTGACATGTGAATACTCTACATGAGGCTTTATAATTGTTATTTATTGATTCTATTTCCCAAATGCAATTACCATTGGAACCAACTGCTTCCTCACAAGTTTCCTTATCTGTATATGAAGAACATTAATTTTTTAGTATGCAAGCTTTTCCATTTGTGGTGCAGGCTGATAGAAAGTTAGAGCATTCTTGATGAGTGGTTCCATAGTAATCGGAACAAACTTAATTTCTACAAATATCCGAATCCCAAGTGCATAGTCCAGTTGATGTCAAACCATCAGTTGCAATTTGAGGTCCATTTTTATTTTTAACACATGCAGCTTTGGAATTATATGATGAACATTCTCCTAATTATATACAACCAGTTAATCCATTTGTTGTACAACCACTATTAGCTCTTTGACATTCTTCATGAGTTAAGTAGAAGGCATCTACACAAGCTACAAATATTTTACAAATCTCTGGATCTACAGATTGAAAGGCTCGTACTGATTGCATACAAATACCATCATAACCAGTGACGCAACCTCCATTAGTATTTGTTTCTGAACATGAAGTAATAGCCACACACTTTGACCCATCAGTTGTACATTTATCACTTATTTATTTACATTATTAATCACTAGTCCACTTTAAACTCTAGCAAGAAGTGTATGAGAAACAGGCTCCTTGAGAACCATCCTAATTTATATATTATTCAATCCACAGACATTGTCCATTCAATCCATTTATGCAAGCAGCTCTAACAGTAGTCTATTCACAATTTTGTATCTTAGCACATTTTCCATGAACTCCTGCAGTGCAATCTAACCTTCTGGCTTGACATGAAGAATGAAGTGATCCCTCTAAATCTTAACATTCTTAAACTCTGCATATGTGTTTAATGCCATCCCAAGCACAAATCTAACCATTTAATGAAGTTGTGCAAGCACTTTCAACATTAGCGGCTTAACATGTTGATTTTTTAACACATCCTCCTCCTTTTTTTGTGGTGCAAATAGGTAAATACTCTTTGCATAACTATTCAGTTAACAAAGTACTTGGTGCCGTGGAACAAGTTTTTATGGTACAATACCATTAGTCATCTTCAGTATCAAAAACCCACTCACATTAATCTCCTGTTGAAGAAGTAACACATCCAGCTTTATCTAAAGCCTATAAGCATGATCCTCTTGTAACACAAATAATTCCGTTTGTTGTGCATTTTGAAATAGCTTGTTTGCATGTATCATCTGTGGCATAGGCAAAATCTTCACAAACCTTAGTTTTGCATTTGACACTATCTAAAGTACAACCAGTAAAGTAAGTATTGCAATCATCTGCAGTAGCTGTTGCATCTGGAGCATTTTCGCATTATTTAGTAATGCAAGCTGTTCCTGTCCAATAGCATGGATCTCCAGCCTTATTATAATAACATTGCTTCTATGTCATTGTTTCACAAGTTGCAGGAATATCTACGCATCCTTATCCAGAATCTGAGACTGTGCATTTATTAGTGATGTAGCCTCTACATTTGGTATCATCATCATAATCTGATGTTGCAGGAGCAGTTTTGCAAGACTTATCTGCACAATCTATACCATTCCATCCACATGGATCTCCATTAGCGTTGATTTAACACTATTCTTTATCCATATACGTTTGACATGCAGCAGTCTATTAACATCCTCCTAAAGTTCGATCACCGCTGTTAATGTTTTGAATTGCAACAGTGCATTTTACTGTTGGTGTATTGTAGTAAGCATAGCATTCATTATGGGTTGATAAGTCAGTAGGAGCATGTGAACAAGACATATCTTGGCAAACAGGAAAAAATACAGTGGCATCAGTATTCCAAAAACAAGCACCACCATTTGCATCTGTTTTGCATTGCTCTTCGACAATATATAAGCTACACCGGCTTCTTTCTACACAACCTGGAACTGCAACACCATTTGATTATTTGACTGTGCAAGCAAGCGATGAATCCACAGCAACACATTTGTTATGAGTATCGAATAAAGAAGTGGCTTCAATATTGCTGCAAGTCAAATCAACGCAAGTCTTATAGGTTGGATTCCAGAAGCATTTTGCGCCACTTGAACTCAACTTACATTAGATTTAAGATTTGTAAGAAGCACAAGCTTTTCTCACTTGACAACCTCCTGATCGAGCAACTGTACATGATTGTAAGTAAGATGAACATTCAGTATCAGTATCATAATTAATATCAGCAGGTGCAGTATCACAAGTCCTTCGTACACATGATGATCCCACTATTTCACATTCTCCTTCAACAGAGTAAAGGCAAGAAGATTAAGTTTAATCTGCACATCTAAATGCCATTTGCAAGCATCCAGTATTTCCAGAATTTACAGTACAAATATTAATCCAATTATTGCAATTTGCATGATTGAATGTTATATCGACAGCATTTGCACAGGTTTTTGCTACACATCCAGTTGTTCCATTATTTGTACATCCGGCTTTGATTTCATTACAATTTGCACTACTGTAATTTCCAGATCCTAATTCTATAGCCTCACAAGTTGCAGCTGATGATGCTGCAACACAAGTAGCACCACCATTCTTAGTTATGCATAGCCCAGCCGCTGATTTATAACAACTATTAAGTTCTGTGTATCCATAACATTGAGCTTATTGTAATACACATGCATTCCTTGATCTATTTACGCTGCATCCTGGGTTATAAGACTAGCAAATTTCATAAGTTATAGCTCCAGCAGCACCAAATATTTTAGAACAATGAGTTGTGGCATCTGAAATTGTGATACAAGTTGAGCCAACTAAATAACATTTTTAGGTAAAACTTTTTGTACATTCTAACAATGTACCTGGATATTATTCGCAAGTTTATTTAAAGTCTTAACATCTGGTTCCATCAGCAATGGATGTACAACTTAGACTATAAGCTTGACATTAAGCATGATCAAGCCCACTTCCTGTTATTGCACCACAATTTACACCTGAGATAGGATAGCAAGAGTTATCAATCCAAATACAAGAACGAGAATCATTTGTTTATATAGTGCATTTGTTAAATGTTGTGTAGTCCTAGCATTTATATTTAGCTTCTTAGCAAGCAGTACCATCTTTTAGACTAATACACCCTGAATTATACATAGAACAGATCTAATCGGTTAATCTAATTTCAGTGATGAATTCACAATCTGTAGTGGCATTTGTAACAGAAATACAACTTGTTCCATTCCAAACACAAAGGCTTGAAAAAGATTATGAGCAGGTTGAATAATCAGCATATTCATTACAAATAGATATTTTTTTCTGACATGCTGTTCTGGCTTTATTCACTGTACATTCTACATTATATTAAGCACATATTGCATCTGAAAGTCGAGTTTCAGTAACATATGCACAATGTATATCAACAACTGTAACTCTAAGGCATGCTGTTCCACTCCATACGCATTTATCTGCTGTTGCTGCAGCTTTTGATGTTGAGCATGTAGCTTCAGTGAAGTATAAGTCACAAGTAGCCTTTTGTTCTTGGCATGCTGTTCCTGCACGATTAGCTGTACAATCTGCATTATAAGCAGCACATATAGTATCTGTCAATCCAGTTCCAGTAACATATGCGCAGTGAGTAGCAATATTTGCTGTTACTATTGCAAGACAAGCAGTTCCGCTCCAAGCGCATTTATCTGCTATTGCTGCAGCCTTTGATGTTGAGCAGGAAAGCCAGGTTACGTATAATTCACAATCAGACATTTGTTCCTGACATGCTGTTCCTGCACGATTAGCTGTACAATCTGGATTATATGAAGCACATATTGCATCTGTTAGTCCAGTTCCAATAACATACCCACAATCTGTTGCAATATATGCTGTTCTTACTGCCCTGCAATCTGTTCCACTCCAAGCACATGTATCTGCTGTTGCTGTAGCTTTTGATGTTGAGCATGTAGCTTCTGTTGTGTATACGTCACAAGTAGCCTTTTGTTCTTGACATGCTGTTCCAGCTCGATTAGCTGTACAATCTACATTATAAGCAGCACATGTAGTATCTGTCAATCCAGTTCCAGTAACATATGCACAGTGAGTAGCAATATTTGCTGTTACTATAGCAAGACAAGCTGTTCCACTCCAAGCGCATTTATCTGCTGTTGCTGCAGCTGCTGAAGTAGAACAAGACTTCTGAGTTAAATATAGATCGCAAGTTGCTAACTTTTCCTAACAAGCTGTTCCATCTACATTTGCTATACAACCTGCATCATAAGTTGCACAAATAGTAGTTGTTAATCCTGTTCCAGTAATTGAAGCACAATTAGAAAAACGCATACAATCTGTTCCATCAAAGTAACATTTACCCTATCCAGAAGTAGCACAATTGTTTGTTGCTGACATAACCAGAACAAGTTGTCTTATACTCCTAACATCCAGTGCCATCTTTTAAGGCTGTGCACTGAAGAGTGATAAAGCTAACACTTAGTGTGATCCAAATTAATTAATCCCGTTACAAAACTACATTCGGAGGGTTAATTCACTTAGCTACAATATGAATAATCGGTCCATGCACAATAATTTGTTCTTGATTTAAAACAATGTAATCTTTCGACATAAGCACTACAAGAATTTTAGATATTTATACAAGCAAAACCATCAATTCTAACTGAGCATGTAGAATCATATGCTTAACAATCTTACAAAGTCAAACTTACTCCATATATTAAAGTACAATCTAAAAAGCAAGCAACTGAGGATGTTGCAAAAAAAGTGTTTGTACATCCTTCTTTATATTACTGACACATAAACATTGTACCCTTGAATGATGAGCATGTTCCAGTAGCAAAAGTGGATATTGCATAGCATCTATCAACGATCCACTTACAATCATCATTAGCTGTTAAATTTGTGATAGTTTTGTGGCATTAACTCATTGTCATATAATCTGAGCAATTTGCTGATTTTGGTACGCATCCTTAACCTCCAGTTTTGTAAATAACTGTGCATGTTTCACTTGGTGTTGGGTAATTAAAGCATTCTTAATCAGTATCATAAAAGCCATAATCCGGAGCATCAGCACAATTAGCATTTCTACAAGAAAATCCAGTCCAAACGCATCTTCTGAATGTTGATGTAATTTTACAATTTTCTTCTATTACATAAGATGCACAACTACTTGCTAGTTATTGACAAGCAGTTCTTCCAGAATTTACAGTGCATTAAACAAATGCAACTTAACAACCGCTATGTGTGGTTTGAGTAATATTTTCACAAGTTCTATCAACACAGCTGCTGCCATTCCAATAACAATCTCCATTTGCTCTAGATCCTATTAAACAATTAGATGGCACTAATGATGAACAACTAGATGGTTTAGCTATGCATCCATCACCTGTATTATTTAAAATACAAGTATAGAGATATGCTTGACAAGCAAAATGACTTAATCCTCCTGCTGATAATGCTCCAGTTGTTTCATCATTGGTAGCAGTTGCACAAGATTTTTCAATGCACGAAGAAGTTGAGGCGACCCAAAGACACATTGGGAATCCAACTCTTTAAATTTCACAATTTTCAGTTGATTTTCTAGCAGCGCATGTAGTTGGTAAATCTTAACATCCTTAAATTGTCAAAGTACCATTAATATTTACAGGATTATTAACCACACAAATTGGTAGATGTTCTTAACATTATACAGTAGTTGTGAATGTTTTAGAGGCAGTAGAACAAGCTTTCTTAATACATTAAGATCCGTTCCATCCGCATGGTTTCTTATTTGCTTTCATTTTGCAAGCAGCTTCAAGAGTTATGGCTTCACATCTAAGTGGAAGTAGAACACAACCTGAGCCTGAATTACTCAAAGTACAAGATGAGTGATACATTTAACAATCAGCATGAGTAGTAGTATTAGATGAAGCCAACACACATTGTTTCTTATAGCATTTTGGTTTCCAAATGCATGCTTTATTATTTATATCTTTATCACAAGCATCTAATACTAATGAATTTTCACATGTTTTTTCTATGCATCCAGCACTAGTTGAATTTACTGTACATGTATTTAAGAAAGCTTAACATAGATCATGAGTAGTGTTAGTTTTTGGAGCATTCGCACATGTTTTATCTTTACAACTTGAACTTGCAGTATCCCAGAAACAAGATGATCCAGTAGAATTCTAAACACAGGCAGCTTCTATTGTTATAGCAGCACAAGTAGTATTTGTAACACATCCACCTCCTGTTTTTGTTATACAATTATTTGCTGTTAAATAAGCTTCACATGCATCATTTGTTGTCAATGTTGTTGGAGCATTAGCACATGATCTATTTTAACATCCACCTCCTGATTTAACAGTACAAGTAGATAAATAAGAAGTACATAAATCATGAGTGTTATTGGTTGTTGGGGCATTGGCGCATGTCTTCTCTTTACAAGTTGTATCCCAAATACAATCAAAATTACTTGAGTTTTTAACACAGGCTGCTTAAACATTAGCAACAGAACAAGATCCATTAGCAACACATCCACCTCCTGATTTAGTGATACATCCTGTAACAAATCCTGCACATGCTGAATTAGTTGTCATTGTAACTGGTGCATTTGCACATGTCTTATCTACACAAGCAGTACCTGTCCAATAACAGTCACCACCTGAACTATTCTTAATACATGAGGCTTCAATAGCTGCAGCAGCACAAGTAGTTCTAGTTACACATCCTCCATTGGCTTTAGTTGTGCATGTTCCATCAGTTCTAAATGTTTTACAGGCATCATCAGTATTCATACTTGTTGGTGCATTATCACAAATTCTATCTTTGCATTTATCTCCATCCCAATAACAAGCAATTTATTTTAATTTATCCCAAACACATTAAATCTCTAATGTTTAATCACTGCATTTATTTTAACTATCAACACATCCACCTCCTATTTTTGTTGTACAAGTTGAAATCACATCTCTGCAATCTTTATCTGTTATAAATGTTGTTGGTAATTTATCACAAGTATTAGCATCAACACATGTATTATTTTTTGTATCCCAATAGCACAAGCTTCCTGCAGTATTTTTCACACATGGGAGTTGTTTTTTATAAGTACTACAAGCATCAATTTCAACACAATGAGTTCCATCTGTAATACATCTATTGCTTATTGCTTAGCATTCAGAATCAAGTATTTTAGTAAAAGGTGTGCATCCTGTGAAAAATGTACATTTCAATTCAACCCAAGCACAACCAAAAGTTTTAGGACAAATCGCTTCATCATAAGAACTACAGTATTGAGAATATTTTATTGGTACATTGCTGGGAGTTGATTTTTAACAAAAAGGTGTATTTTTTACATTCCAAGTACACATTGCCGTGATGCAATCATCTTCTGATAGCAATTGAGAGCATTCACATATTGTTTTGCTATAATTTTAGGATTCAATTAATAGAAGCATTATAGCAAGAATCAAGATTTTTTTAATCATTATTCTTAATATTGACTTTTAATATGAATAATATGACAAAATTAATCCTATTTTTATGAAAAACATTTTAGTTACTTTTGTTTTATGACTTCAAATAGATTTTACTTTAAAGAAAAATTTACTTTTTTACATATTTTTTAAGAAAGATGGAAATAAATCGAAGAAATAGAATTGGATTGACCTCAGAAGTAACCATTTGTTTGGCTCAATAATAATTTGGAATTTTGATTCAAAAGGGATATCTCTAACCTAAATAGAATTATCTATTTTTTTTATATTTAAAAATTATTTTCTAATAATAATCATGTTCTTACATTGATTACATATCCTTAACTTAGAATGCAAATATTTGAACTTGTTTTAGATAGATACAGTAATGTAATTACTCTTACAGTTTCATTTTCATTTTTATAAGAGTATTAATATTATCAGTTATTATCAAAAACAAACAATGCGCAATTTTATTTTATCATTATAAGTTGCTATATTATATAAAAGAGTGTTGCCAAAAGTAGATGTATTTAGTTAAACTGATAATTCTATTTTTTATCTTACTATGGCTTTCATATTGAAAAAATTACATAATTTTAAGTTCCATTTAATAATCATCAAGTTTTAACGAATATGAGATAGAATAGAACTATTTAGATAAAATAAAATTTAGAAAATAATTAATAAATTTAATATTAATTAACATTGTATCTAAATCAAAAATTAAAATTTTAATTCTTTTTCAAAAATTTATAAATTAATTCTGTTTCTTTCGTATTTAGCTTGGATCATAATCCATTAATTTCATTATAAGAACCAACGTGCAATCAAATAAGAAGCAAAACAATTTATTTAACTTTACTTTTTAAATATAGTTTTTTATTATTATTTTCTTTGATAGTAGAATTTTACTCGCAAATCTATACCTTAGGTCAATTTAATCGAATTATTTCTTTCATACAATTATATCATATATTTAACATTTCCTATAATATTTAATAGTCTATTATCCTTTATTTTCAGAATATCTAAGCAACAAAAAAGTAAAAAAAAAGTACGAGAATGAGGAAACAACTCTTCAATATTCCACTAATCTATATGAAGGAACAAATAATGACTACCTATAAGAATATTAGAATAAAGTGGAACTTTTAGGATAATATATTTAAGATGAGTAGATTTAGCAATTATATGATAACTATTAAATTAGAATAGAAAAAAATAGTATTTAATAATTCTAGACTAAAGATAAAATAAATTAATGAATAGAATATTGAAAAATTAAGTATTTAACACTCAATCAACCAAAAACAAACAAACTTCTTAAATTTGTTTAATTTTGTGCATATAGTAAAATATAGAAGATTTGAAGTAAATATTTCAGTCAATTCTTTATTAAAAAATAAGACAACAGATTTAATTTAGTATTTAACTAGGATGTGCGTAATACAATAGTTCCATTATATGTAGGTATTTAACTAAAAAGAGTACTGTAAGTTTATAAATAAAATAAAAGAAAGAATAATTTTACTTGAAAATAGTTTAAATTTAATTTAGAATACAACCACAATGAATTTAACGTTTACTTCTATATTAAGAGATCAATTAAGTTGTAATATAATAATGAACTTGGATATCATTACAAATTATCGACATAATATCATTTAGGCCTTTAAATTTTAGGCTCTATGATTGATTCATCTATTCTTGATCTAAACAAGGGATCCAAGGGACTTAGGTTACCATGCCGTTATTGTGAGATTTATATCTATTCAAAAAACTAGATTATATTCCTATCAATCATAGATAATAGTTTATCATCAACACTGCTTCTTCCCTTATCTTATTATAATGAAGAGAAAGAACAATAATAATCTTTAAGATTCTTAGATTGGAATTTCTTATTATTAATAGCTCTAAAGCTTTTTTGAACCCCAGCTTCAGACGCCAAATCATTACTCATATCTTCCATTTGAAGTTTTTCATCTTAGAGAATAGGTTTAGGTAATAGATCAAACAATTTATACTATTCATCATTCAATAATATGAATTTGAGCAGATCAATTTCATGTAATTTTTGTATGATCTTAACCACATCCATTTAAGCGAGAATCTATTGTTTCACTTAACCAAACAATTCTCTTTTCTTTTTATGACAACCTAAGAGTATCAGAAGAGATTCATATATTCCATTTGAAAGGTTTTCATCTAGATTTGCTTCTCTGGACCGTCGAATTGATTCATTGACATCAACAACTTAGTCACTTTATTATAGATTGATTATCTCCATATTTTATTGTTTTTAAGAATTAGGAAATCGATATAATTCATTCGCTATTGAAATAGTCATCAGATTATTTATTAGAGGATTTAAAATTAAGGCAGCAATAATCACAAACAATTACCAAATTCCTCCAATTTTACTCAATATTGTCTGAATCTTAATGTAGGATCTGCGATAGACAGTTTCCTTGTAATCTAGTTATATATAATGGTAGACAAGATAATCATCATTATATAACTCAGTATATTCTCTTCTGTCTTATTTTCTTAAATTTAACTCTACATCATCTGTAGAAAACAGTAATCCATCGTCAGTATGAATTTCAGATATTCTGTATGTCCATTATAACATTTTAGAAGTTGATATGGAGAAACTATTAATATCTAAATTTATGAATTATGAGTAGGGTTTGCCAGGATGATTTAATTGCATCAAATAATCGCTTGCATACACAGAATAGTGTCCTGCTGATAATACCTTCTTAATTTCTTCGATTGGAGCACAACCTTAATAATCTGTATTATTTTTGCATATGCTCAATTCAATTACCAAGTATTAGTACTTGTATCCAGAGATTTGGCCTTACAGAACCTTGAATTAAGATGCGAATAATACAGGGGGATTATTTCTGAGCCGGGTTCGATTTATACATTGGACAACACCTAATCTAGTATTTTTGAAAAAATCTTTTTATAATTCATTATCAAAGTCTTCGGTTTTACAAGGTGCGATTGGCAAATCAGAACAGCTAAATACTATTTATATTTACTTTAATTTCACCTAAACCTTTCCTGTTGCTTCATCCAACAATCTTTCTCTGATGCAATGACTCATTGTCAAGTTATAATATTTCAGTTGCCCCAATATGGGTTCTGAATTTTTAGTAGCTATTGTGACTGCAAGAGTGAAGTTATCGTTATAAAGTGGGAAAGACTGTAATTATGATTGATAATTACTGTTGAGTCAAATATCTGCAACTCAGATGTAACAACATTAGGTTCAGCCTTCTGTAAAAGAGTTGTTATTTCAGTCACTAAATAAATTAAGGTAGCTGTTCCAATTATAAAGGTCATACAACAACCTACGATAGAAGTGTATTTATTTTTTTCAAGGACTCTGAAGTTTGGCAGTTAACCAAAGATATCGAAAGTATCTATGGTTGAATTGCCAATCCTGTATAAAATATTCTTCGATTGCTCCAACATTGAAAAATTAAATCTTAATAATTAATAAATAGATAGAAGACCTCTATTAAATATCAATAATAGCATATATTTTTAAAGGTAGTTATTATTTTACCACTGGGGATAGATTAATAATAAGCTTTATATTAAAATTCATTTATAATCATTATTTTTTTCTTTTATTGGTTTCACCTCGTATTAAAATTAGGAATTTATATAAAAAGTAATAGTGTTTAAGAATAGAGTTTCAATTAATTTAAAAATGTTTTGTTCATTATTTTGTCATATCATCTCAATAAAATGGTTGCTTTTAGTTTTATTCAATTTATAGTTAGCGGCTTATATTCCAGATTTATTTAAAATTATAGTAAGAAGATATCTTTTTAGATATAAATTTAATTAATTGAGAATTATTGCAAAATTCTAATTCTATAAGTCATTCATCTTATAAATAAATTGATGAGCATAATATAAAATGGGTTGAAATATATAATAATCTAATTTATAATTAAACTTATTTTAATAACCAAAATTTACGCATTACTTTCTCTAAACTCAAAATAAACTTGGTATCCTAAGATATTGAACAATTGTTTATTCTTAGTTATCCAATTAAAACTCTACCATTGTAAGTTATATTTTGATTGAAAAATTACGACGATTTTAACAGATCTTATTAACTAACTAATGAATTAAGAAAAAAGAATTAAAAAGTATTAAAAAAGCCAATATTGTATAAATATTTCAGATCAAAAGTCAAAATCATCTAATAAGTCCCCTTTCTCAGCCTTTTAAGCCAATTCTTTTTACTAATATAATATTGTAAACTATGATACCTTATCTATTTTTTATTGATTTCCTACTCCTCTTCTATTTCCTCCACCACCAAATCCAGGTTCATAGGTTTCATTATCCTCCTTAGGAACTTCAAATTTTCTTCTTTGTTGATTGGGTCTATACTCTTCCTATTGCTTTTGACCTCCTAAAATTTCATCCAGAGTCATTTCTCTCTCTTCTTTATGTTGAACTTCTGGGACTTATTTTACATCTTTAATTTCTTATATTTCTTCTATATTCTCCTTCTAAACTGGCTAATCTTCCCATATATTTAATTTATTATTGCCCCTATTTCTTCTTCCTTATAGTTTTGCTGGTTCTTGTCTTGGTTGAAATTCATACGCGGGTTCTTCAGTTTTAGGAGCTTCAGGCTACTTTTCATCAGCAAATAGTTTAATTCTACGCTATTTATTACTATCATCAGTTGGTTGATATGTTTATTGAGAAGATATAGATTATTATTATGAGGAAATTGACTATTATTATGATTATTATTAGCTATTATTCTATTCTAACTATTCCTCTTAGCCACCTCTATTTCTTCTTCTAGTAGGATATTCTAATTATTATGTTTGTTCTTATTTTTAATTAATTAATATTGGTTGTTCTACTGTTTATTAAGTTTATTAAGTTGATTATGATGGTTATTGTTGTTATTATTATTCTATTGAATTATAATCCAATCCTCTGGGTCTGTTGGATACTCTTCTCGTTGGAAAAGTAGGTTGATAATCCTCAACAGGTTTTGGTTATTCAGGTTGTATGGGTTATTCAATAGGTTTATTGTTTTATTCATTTATTTCTTTGTGATGATCTCGTGGTTGCTCAACCGGTTTAGAAGCATGAATTATGAATTGTGTAGTTTCTTCTGATTTATTTTATTATGGTTTTTTCATTCTCATCATTCTAGAAGGACCTGTATATTCTGTTTAAACATCGCTAGTATTACTTTATTAATTGCTTACATTGCTTTAACCTAAATCAAGAGAAGGTTATTAATCAACTGATTTTCTTAGATTACTAAAAGGTTTTGAATTTAATTTATTTTATTGATTAGGAGATTAAAATTATTATTATTATTACTATTATTATTACTATTATTGTTATTGTTATTATTATTGTTATTATTACTATTGTTATTATTTTATAACTTATACTTCTTATTTTAATGGAGTAGAATTTGAGATTGGAATTTATTTTTTCTCTTCTTACTTTATTTGCTATTATTATTCAGTTTCATCTTCACATATAATTTCTTCTTCTACTTCATTCTTTGATGTTAATTATTATGACTTTTAATCTTATTTAACAGGTAATTTTAATTCTTTATTATGATTTTATTCCTGCTTAGACATAGGGGGTTTAGCACTCTACAATTTTCTTTGACTTTCTATTTGCATTCTTTCATATTATAATTCATCAGAAATATTTTCTTAAGTCATGATAGCAGGCATATCTTTTAACTAATCTGTTGGTATTTTTTCTTTTAATTCTGCCTTTATTTTTCTCTAATCAATTAACATCATTTCATTTGTATTAATTTATTGGTTAAAGAATTCTTTTTCTTTTTTCAATTCTTTGATTTCCTTCTCTATCATTTCCAATTATTTATCCTTCTTTTCCATAATTAGATTATGTTTCAACAAATTGTCCTTTTGAGCCAATAGCATAAGGTATTGTTCTTTTTATTTACTGAACGGTTTATGTCCACTAATGTCAATCCTATACTTTTCAGCTTCTTCTTCCAAAAGCCTTAGTTCCTTATTGATTTTAGGGAGTTCAACTTCTTGTGTGTTTTTGATTGTTTCCTTCTGTTTATTGTATTACTCCTATTGTTCCTTAATTTTCTTCCTAATATTGGCAATCTCTTGATTTAGATTGTTCCTTTCTTTATTCAACTTGTCAAATCCATCTTGATTCTCATACTTATCAAGATCTTTGCCTCGTTGTTTCTGTTACAAATATTCTTACTTTTTTCTTTGTTCTAACTTCTTCATTTCATCTTCAAATTTCTTAATCTCCTCATCCAACTTCATGATGTAGTTCACCTATTATATTTGTTGCAATCTGGTAGTTAATTTATTAATCTCCTCTTCCTATTACTCTAACTTTTTTTGATTAATTTCAATCTCCTTATCAATTACAGAAACGCCCGAGAGTTAAGATTGTGCTGTTTTCTATCTCTTAATTTATGGCTACGGTTATGGTAGTGATGATACACGTTAAGCATTCAGCTCGACTAATTTAGTCACTTCTTCAGAGATTTCTTTAAGCTTCTATCTGAGTAACTTGTTTTCCTCATGCAACTGTTTTGGTTTCCAATTAGAGTAATCTTAAGGAGCCATTAGCTCTGCATATTTCTCTTAATAGGTGGGTTTCTATTTAATAGGTTAGATAGGCAGAGGAGGTCTCTTCTTTTTCTTTGGAGGTTCTAAAAGAGGAGCCGATTTATCAGATTAAGCATTTTTATTATCTTTAACTTCTTTGTTCTATTTGTTATTATTAGGATTTTCCTGCTCGAATTCATCGTAATTCTCTTCATAGTCATTTTATTCATAATCTTCATCATATTGTTCTTCTTCATTTTCTTCCTCGTTATATTATTCATTATCTTCAGGAACTTCTTCATAGACTTCTTCTTCTTATACATTTTCTTCGTTGTCATTATGCTAAGCTAAATCCTCACTCTAATCTTCATATTAATAGACTTCGCCCTCTTCTTCCTCCTCAGGTGGGTAAGGAGTGTGAGTTCTTTGATTTGAAATTGGATTTTTGTTCTAATCATTTTTTGGTTATTAATTATTGGGCATCTATTGGTCATCATCTCCTCCCATTAGATCTTCCTCATAATTGAATTCTTCCAGGCTCAATTCCTCATTATCAATTTCTCCAAATTCCTCTTAATCCATTAAAATAATTAAAATGAATTTCTGCTACTTTTCATAGCTTTGGCCCAAACAATCCTTCTCAGCAGCTCATGAACGGACATTTGGAATAATCGAACGCTTTATCCACAATAATATCAAGACATTCTACATCACTCCTCAAGATAAAAAAAAAGCAGAGGATATACGCTAATATATTGATCTGAAATGCCAACAAGCCGACCCTTCAAACACAAGTAGAGTCAACCATGTGTTGAGTCGCATCCAAACCCCTACAGTAAGTGTTTTCGACACTCATGTATCAGAATGCTTGTACAGTCATTATGTACATTAAGTATTCTCAAATTGTGCTAAAGTGCTGGACTTGTAAGACTTACACAGTTTAAGATTGAAGAGGGAAACCTTGCTCACTGGGGAATTGATGAATAAGGAAGTATTAAAGGCAAAGCCAGAATTAGGAGATGAACTCACTGATAAGGAGATGGCTTCAATTATAAGAAGCGATCTCATAATAGCATGTTCTGATTACGAAATGGAATTAATAAAACATCTAAATAAAAAGGTTCAATTGGTCACCTTCTTTTATCCTACCACAAGACGATTGGATGAAGAAGACAAGCAAGCCATAGAACTCAAGCAACATCATTACAAGAGAAGACACTTTGTATTTCTTGGTAATATGTCGCATCGACCGAATTATGATGCAGTCAAAAGATTAAAAGATCGAATCTGGCCAATAATCGTCAAAGCACTTCCATAAGCTCAGTTACATATTTATGGTAGTAATTTCCCTGCAGAATTCAAAACAGATGAGTACAATGGTTTCATTTGCAAGGGACTAATGAAAGAAATTGACATCCTTGGAAAGTATAGAGTCATGCTAGCACCCTTGCGTTTCGGTGCTGGAGTTAAAGGAAAAATCACAGATGCTTGGAGAGAAATGTTACCTGTCATTACAACACCTATTGGTGCTGAGGGTTTATTCTTAGAATCAAGTTAAGCACTAAAATATGAATGTGTCAATCAAATTCAATCCAAATTCTATTCTGACATGGAAGCCGATCGTCTCAATCCACAAGTAAGGTAACAGAGTCTGGAGGAAGAAAATTTCATGAGGGAATACTACTCCTATGATAATAACACTGAAGAAATGGCTAAGAAATTAACATTTGGAGGTAGCTTTAATAATTGGACTGATGAGCAATTCGCTGAAGAAGCCATTAAAATGTATGAAGATGAATAATTGTGGCTTAATGCCATTGAAAATTCATAGAAAATCTTAAAAAGAAGAATGGATACAATTGTTAATGAAAAGTTGTTGATGAAAGCCATCTCAGAAACTTAAACTAATTTAGCTTCGATGAGAAGACAGGATATTTTATAGAAGTTGACTTGGAGTGAAACCCTTCGTTCCAATTATCATTTTGCCAAATATCTTGACGAGAAACGTAAGAATTTAGAATTAACTGGTAAATTAAAGTAATCGAATTGAAAATCGCTTATATATATATGTGTATATAAAAAATAATCATTTCCTTAATTTTATTCTGAGCATCATCTCCCCTTTATTACTATTCTTGCCTTTCTTATATTAATAGTATCCTAATCAAGATCAGATTACAAATCTATTGTCATTAATGTTATATCGTTATCCATGATTTGAATCTGTAATTCTTGTGGTTGTTCACCTTCCAAAGTAGAAACGAGGATGTATGGAATCAATGTGGAAGGCAAATTACCACATTCTATCAATTTGTGTTTGTCCATACTCCATTAGCAATTCTGACATTCTAATCCTCCAAGTAGATAAGATCCATCATTTAATTACTGCTATTGTACATGGTTTATTTCAGTACATTTCGAAATATCAGTATAAATATTGAGATTCCAAGGATTGAGACCATTCTTACGACTAAATTGCAATTTGAAGTATTCCAATAATGCCTTAGGAATAAATAGGTAGCTTAAATCAAAGTACTTTCGATTTTATTAATCTCTCAATAATTTTAATTGATACACATTTGAATTCACCATTTCTATTAAATTGTGAGTGAGCAAATTAGATTTTGGTTTGTACCACAAATATTAATATAGCTCATGTGGACATGGCATAGCATATATATCTGGATTGTTCCTGATATATTCCTTCAACTCTTCTATCAATACATTATACTTCTAGATCTAAATATTGATATATTGATCAACAGCATCTGTGTATGAAATATTTTGTTTATTTTTGTTTATGATATTAAGTGCTGTTTTTCGATAATATTAAGAAAAGGGTTTTGAGTCATTTTTTTGAAAAGAGTACTTTCTTGTTAATTTCTATTCTAATTTAATTAAATTAAGTGGCTCAACTAATTTAAGCTATGCTTTATTCTGACTTTAAACTACAGTATTATTGCTATTAGTTAATAGTTAGAATTATTGAATTATCTATTAATTTAACTAATTATAAATTGCAAAGTTGTAATGTCCGTAGCCAATACTATAGGTATCATTTGTATCTGGAATTCGATTAATCATCTCATCTAACCATACATCACTGCCTATTGGAAGTGTTTGAAAATGCAAATATTAATAATTCTCAGTATTTACTTACTAATTGCAGTGCTTATAAATAATACTTTCTATAGTTATTTGATCTTCAGGAGGGACATTGTATATTCCATCAGTTATTAGTTTAAACATACTATTGATGTTGGTATTGATGAAGTAGGGCAAGTTAAATTTTAGGATTAGATTTAAATCTGACACCGTATAGGTCTCAGAAGTCTAATTTAATAGTAGATTCCTCTAGATGATGAAAAAGTGCATATAACATAAACTGTAAGTGAACTTTTTCATTTCACTTGTATTGCCATCCACTTTAGGTATGTATTTTTTGATGTTCTAACGTATTTATTCATCATATTGTAGAAAAGACTTCTAGCAATTCAATAATGTTTTATCTAGTAAAAGATCTTCTTCAAAATTCTCTAGAATGCAATGAGGATATTTGCTTTGAATTATTTGTTCCTGCAATTCCAATGGATAATGTGACAAATTAATGAATAAATATTGCTGATTGAGTTCTTGCTGTCCTTTATAAATGGGAATGTTGATTTCTTCTACAAATTTTCTTAATTAGGATTAGACATATATGATTTGCTTTTCTGATGTCTAATAAATCTTGTTGGTTTTGATTTAAGTGGAGTGTCTCGTTGATCTGTCCTTGATGTACTCATAAATGAATCTTCTCAAATATTTGGGTTTGAAAGCCTTTATTAGAATGAGCTTCTCAAATATTTACAATTTTTCATCATATTCACTCGGAATGGACAAGGCGTCATCCAACCATTTTTACCATTCCTTGGGATATCTTGAGATCTGAGTATGTAAATCATCAAATGATGGTGATAAACTCATAATGTATCTGATTTCATCCCACTGATCTTATTTGATGAATGAAACACTTAAGGATTTTGGATATTTACTCAAGTCCTTCTGTACTTGTTGACCAATAACATATTAGAACTGATCCTAAGAGATGGTTCTATTCCTCAGATCTATTTGAGTAAATAAAATGAACTTCACCAACAAATGATGTTCTAATCTAAATTGATTTTCTATCATATGCATTGTCTACAATGTGAAATGATTACTTATGATCCAATATCGTTCTGAGCTGTCTCCCTTGATTTAATCCATCACTTGAATCAGTTTGTCTAATAATTGTTGCATTGTGATATAATAACGACGATCAAAAACAATAGATTGTTGCAGACTCTTATAAACCAATAAGAATCTCACCATCAAAGGGTGATAAATTTCAAAATTGAATTGTGTATTGTATTATTTCTATTATTCCTATTGATCAATAAGTTCTTGAATTTGAGTAATAACATCTAGGTTAATTATGCTGTTAAACTAAGAGGATATCAAGAGACTCAGTTATTGTTCATAAAGGGGATCCATAATTGGATGATCGTCATCCAAGAGAGATCCTAAATTTATGAGTGATAGATTCTCCTCGTCATATTATTGTACCAATTTATCAAATATCTCAGGATTTTCCTTTTGTAGTATGTTTAACAATGCATATGACTCAATTTCTTTATCTTATTTCTTAAAATAAATAGTTCGCAAAAGCGATTAGGCTATACTTTCATGTCTTATTTAATAGGAAATAAAGTATATCTTACTCTCTTGTTATTACTGAAATTGCAATATAAATGATCTCCATCGTTATGATTTCATTAATTCATCTATTATCACATCATTTATGATTAGGCATTACTGGGTTTAATAGTTGCTTTTGATTTCATTTATATTGTTGATATTGAATGAACTCACATATGCAGTTGGGTAGAATTATTATAGATATTCTTGAGACAGGTTTTCAGGGTCAATGATTAGTAAAATATTCTTTTGATTTTAAAATTTCAAATTGAGTAGTAATTACATATTCTCGTAATCTAATTTACATTGTAAATTCAAATTATCAATTAATTTCTACTTTATTTATTAATTATAACTTTGACAAATACTTTGTACAAAATTGATATCAACCAATTGGATTTATTGTTATTATAAATTAAATATATTCTATTGCCATTGGACTTGATATTTATTCAAATGCTGAAGACACTTTCTTGTTGCTTCAAATATCTTGGTGATCTTTTCCAATTAATCAGTTAAAATACGTGATTTAGATTGATAGATATTGATTTATTGTTCTTATTATTGTATCATACCAGTTCGCAATTCTTGTTTGTTCTTCATCTCTTCAACTGCCACTTTGTCATTGTGTAGATTGTTTTAGAGTTGTATTAAGGTTTGTTGATAATTACAAATGTTGATGGCAATCTAATAGATAGTTTAAATTTATTATGAAGATTATGGGTACTTCAAAGTAATCTGATCAATCTGATATTGTTCCAATTATGGCAAATCAACTAAATGCACCAATTCCATAGATAATGGTTACAAGAAGGGAAACTCTTAGATGATGTGAAATAGTTGCAATCTTTACTTATTATATT